GCCAGGGATCTGCCGGCAAGCCGGGGCGGCGGCGCGGGCTCGGGGGGGCCGCGCGTCCCGTGGGACCCCCTCGCTGGGCGCTCCCCCCATGACGCAGGAAGGCGGCGGGCAGGGCCCGGCGCCGGCGCCGCCGGCCGGGCGCAAGGAGACCGAGATCAAAGCCGTCATCGTGGGCGACGGCGGCTGCGGCAAGACCTCGCTGCTCATGGTCTTCGCCAGGGGGGACTTCCCCAAGGTAAGGAGCCCTCCTGCTGGCCCCACGCTGCAGGGCTGGGGATGCCCCTGCGCCCTGCCCTCGCTTCCCCCGAGCCCCTGCCCAGCCCCTTGAYAGGCTGGCCATGTCCCCAAGGTGGGAGCTACCACGTCCCAGCAGAGCCCCCAAGCCCTCCCATGGCTTCTGTCCCCCCACCCACCCTGCAGAGGACTTGCTGGGCACAGAGGGCAGCTCTCCCGAGGAGGGTGCAGAGAGGGAGGAGGCCAAGGAACTGGCCACCAGTGGAGCCTGGTGGGTTCCAGCTGGCAGCAGGGCTGCTTGAAGCGCAAGGACGGGCAGTGGGACACGGGGGAGTCCCCACGCACAGCTGGGCAAGGGGCAGCGCTTGGAGCTCAGCTGGGCTCCAAAAGGCTCCTGCTGTGGGACAGCCCTGGCCAGGCGGTGACCACCCACCATCACCACCGGGCAGGGGGCTTGSAGGGTTGTATCCAGCCGTTGCCCCATGTCTCAGGTTGCTTATGGGGCTAGCACGGGGTGTCCCTCCCGGAGGCACAGGAGCAGCCCAGCGCCTCTCCAGGGATGCCCCTCGGGTGCTSCAGCTCTCCAGCTGCCCGGGGCCACCTCACACGCGCTCATGTCCCGCCAGGTCTACGTCCCCACAGTGTTTGAGAAGTACACAGCCTCCTTCCAGGTTGGCGGCAAGCCCGTGAAGATCCACCTCTGGGACACGGCAGGTGGGACACAAGGGGACAGGAGGGGATGGGGAAAGCAGTTCCGTGCCACCCACGGGGCTCGGGTACATCCCACGCACGGCAGTTGGTATGCTGTGAGAGCTCTGTCCACACGAGGCCAGGGCTTTGACCCGCAGCCAGCTCCCAGCCTCAGAGGATGTCACCGTGTGGACTGGGAACAACGGAGCTGCCCTGTCCAGCCCTGGACCCTCTTCCAAACTGGAGGGACAAGCCATTGGGGCGGACCACTAAAGGCAGGTTGGGATGAGGACTCAGCCCCACGGGGAGCTGGTATTTAATGGAGTGCTGCTCTACCTGGCAGGACAGGAAGATTATGACAGGCTTCGCCCACTGTCTTACTCAGACGCCAATGTTATCCTCATGTGCTTTGATGTCACCAACCCCAGCAGCTACGACAACATCCTCACGAAGGTAGTGAGTGGTGGCCAGTGACGGGACAAGGGGCAATGGGTACAAGTTGGAACCCAGGCAGCTCCATCTCCATGTGAGGAGGAACTTCYYTGCTGTGAGGGTGMCSGAGCCCTGGCACAGGCTGCCCAGGGAGGCTGGGGAGSCTCCTTCTCTGGAGGTCTCCAAACCCGCCTGGATGCCGCCCTGTGCTCTGGGTGACCACGGGTGTGCATGGGGCAGGGGTTGGACTAGATGATCTCCAGAGGTCCCTTCCAACCTGAGTGACTCTGATTCCGTAGCGCCACTTCCCTGGGGTGGTGGCGGGGACTGGCTTCCCAGAGAGGCTGTGCCCTCTCCTTGCTCAAAACCACTGGAAAACCAAAGGTTCCCAGGCAACCTGCGTGCGAGCAGGAGGGTGGGCAAGGCGCCGCGCGGGGATGCCCTCCTGGCGCCACTCCTGCCGGCAGTGGTGCCCGGAGGTGAGCCACTTCTGCAAGGGCGTCCCCGTGGTGCTCGTGGGCTGCAAGACGGACCTGCGGAAGGACCGGGCCGTGCTGCGCCGCCTCCACGAGGACCGCCTGGAGCCCATCACCTACCAACGGGTGAGCGCCCGGTCCCGGGGCCGGGAGCCCTCCCGGGGCATCGCGAGCGGGCGGCCAGGCCGGCGGGCATCTCACCGGCCCCGTGGCCACGCAGGGGGAGGCCATGGCCCGCCTGGTGCGCGCCGCGTCCTACTTCGAGTGCTCGGCCAAGTACCAGGAGAACATCTCGTCCATCTTCACGGCGGCGTGCGGCGCCGCGCTGGGCGCCGCGCGGAGGAGCCCGCGCCGCCGGCGGCCCAAGCGGGGCTGCAGCGTCTGCTGAGCGCCGCCCGCTCCCCCCGGCACCGGGGCCGGCACCGGGTGGACCCGCAGCTTGAGGACTGCTTGGCGCCGGGGCCAACTCTCTCCCACCTCTGCCCCGAGCTCATATTAAAGCACGTACCGCACCCGCCTGGCGTGGTCACTGCACCCGCTGCCCCAAGCAGGGCAGCTGAGAACGACGGCAGCTCGGCGCATGCCAGCACGCACCGCCACTGGGGTGCCGGCGCGGGCATCTGCGGCACGTGGGTGTCTATGCACGGGCATGCATGCAGGCGGGCATGCATGCAGGTGAGCGGGTACGTGCGCGTCTGCTCACACGTATGGATATGCACGTGCATGCATATGGAGGCGTGCGTGCAAGGGTTGTACGTGCACCCCGTGCCTACGTACGTGCATATGAACCTCTGTGAACATACGTGTGTCTGCAGATGTGCAGAAATATATATATATATGTGTGTGTATTTATGTATCTCTGTACCTGCCTACCTGTGTGTCCTTACGTGCACATATAGCCCTGCATGCACTAGCGTGTGGGCGTGCGCACTTGCTTACATGCGTGTTAAGGCATGGAGGCGTGTATGTGTGCATATACATGTACACCTCCGTACAGAAGTATACACACGTATAAAGCGCCTCTATAGGGGAAGCGCTGCGAGCGCCTCCGTGTTTAGGTCCATGCCCCTATAGACACCGCTCGTCCTTGCGCATGCGCGCCCCGCAGCGCTCCCCCCGCCCTCCCCCGGGGGCGCATGCGCACTCCCTCCCGTTCGGCGCGGGGCGAGGCGACGTGCGTCGCGGCAGGGGAGGGGTGGGGGGAGTGGAGAGGCGGGCGGCGGCGCATGCGCGCGGCGCGTCCCGCGGGAGGCGGGGGGGGTCAGGGGAGGTTGCGGGCGGCGCAGGCGCAGTGCGGCGCCCGAGTCAGTGTGTATGTGAGACTCTGACGGGTTCAAAATGGCGGCGGCGGCTCCTGTG